GGCATTCCCCTTCATCTTTTGTCCTTTCCTCAATCCTCCCTATTCTCAGTCTTCTCCCTTTCTCTTTCTCTTTCCCTCCCTAACCCCCTGCGTACTAGTGGCATTCCCCTTCATCTTTTGTCCTTTCCTCAATCCTCCCTATTCTCAGTCTTCTCTTTTCACTTTCACTCCCCCTGTAACCCCCTGCTTACTAGTGGCATTCCCCTTCATCTTTTGTCCTTTCCTCAATCCTCCCTATTCTCAGTCTTCTCTTTCACTTTCCTCCCTGTAACCCCCTGCCTACTAGTGGCATTCCCTTCATCTTTTGTCCTTTCCTCAATCCTCCCTATTCTCAGTCTTCTCTTTCATTTTCACTCCCTGTAACCCCCTGCTTGCCTAGTGGCATTCCCCTTCATCTTTTGTCCTTTCCTCAATCCTCCCTATTCTCAGTCTTCTCTTTCTCTTTCTTTCCTCCCTGTAACCCCCTGCGTGCTAGTGGCATTCCCCTTCATCTTTTGTCCTTTCCTCAATCCTCCCTATTCTCAGTCTTCTCTTTCACTTTCCTCCCTGTAACCCCCTGCGTACTAGTGGCATTCCCCTTCATCTTTTTCCTTTCCTCAATCCTCCCTATTCTCAGTCTTCTCTTTCACTTTCACTCCCTGTAAACCCCTGCGTGCTAGTGGCATTCCACTTCATCTTTTGTCCTTTCCTCAATCCTCCCTATTCTCAGTCTTCTCTTCTCCTTCACTTTCCTCCCTGTAACCCCCTGCGTACTAGTGGCATTCCCCTTCATCTTTTGTCCTTTCCTCAATCCTCCCTATTCTCAGTCTTCTCTTTCACTTTCCTCCCTGTAACCCCCTGCGTACTAGTGGCATTCCCCTTCATCTTTTGTCCTTTCCTCAATCCTCCCTATTCTCAGTCTTCTCTTTCTCTTTCACCTCCCTTTAACCCCCCCTGCGTGCTAGTGGCATTCCCTTTCCATCTTTTGTCCTTTCCTCAATCCTCCCTATTCTCTTTCTTCTCTTTCACTTTCCTCCCTTTAACCCCCTGCTTACTAGTGGCATTCCCCTTCATCTTTTTGTCCTTTCCTCAATCCTCCCTATTCTCAGTCTTCTCTTTCTCTTTCACTCCCCCTTGTAACCCTCTGCGTCTTGCTAGTGGCATTCCCCTTCATCTTTTCTCCTTTCCTCAATCCTCCCTATTCTCAGTCTTCTCATTCACTTTCCTCCCCTGTAACCCCCTGCTGCTTGCTAGTGGCATTCCCCTTCATCTTTTGTCCTTTCCTCAATCCTCCCTATTCTCAGTCTTCTCTTTCACTTTCCTCCCTGTAACCCCCTGCGTACTAGTGGCATTCCCCTTCATCTTTTGTCCTTTCCTCAATCCTCCCTATTCTCAGTCTTCTCATTTCCTTCACTTTCACTCCCTGTAACCCCTGCGTACTAGTGGCATTCCCTTCATCTTTTGTCCTTTCCTCAATCCTCTCTATTCTCAGTCTTCTCTTTCACTTTCCCCCTGTAACCCCCTGCGTGCTAGTGGCATTCCCTTTCATCTTTTCCCTTTCCTCAATCCTCCCTATTCTCAGTCTTCTCTTTCTTCACTTTCTCCCCTGTAACCCCCTGCGTACTAGTGGCATTCCCTTCATCTTTTGTCCTTTCCTCAATCCTCCCTATTCTCAGTCTTCTTTCACTTTCACTCCCTGCAACCCCTGCGTACTAGTGGCATTTCCCTTCATCTTTTGTCCTTTCCTCAATCCTCCCTATTCTCAGTCTTCTCTTTCACTTTCATTCCCTGTAACCCCCTGCCTACTAGTGGCATTCCCCTTCATTTTTTGTCCTTTCCTCAATGCTCCCTATTCTCAGTCTTCTCTTTCATTTTCACTCCCTGTAACCCCCTGCTTGCTAGTGGCATTCCCCTTCATCTTTTGTCCTTTCCTCAATCCTCCCTATTCTCAGTCTTCTCTTTCACTTTCACTCCCTGTAACCCCCTGCGTGCTAGTGGCATTCCCCTTCATCTTTTGTCCTTTCCTCAATCCTCCCTATTCTCAGTCTTCTCTTTCAGTTTCACTTTCCCCTGTAACCCCCTGCGTACTAGTGGCATTCCCTTCATCTTTTGTCCTTTCCTCAATCCTCCCTATTCTCAGTCTTCTCATCTTTCACTTTCCTCCCCTGTAACCCCCTGCGTGCTAGTGGCATTCCCACTTCATCTTTTGTCCTTTCCTCAATCCTCCCTATTCTCAGTCTTCTCTTCTCTTTCACTTTCCTGTCCCCCCCTGCGTACTAGTGGCATTCCCCTTCATCTTTTCCCTTTCCTCAATCCTCCCTTTCTCAGTCTTCTCTTTCACTTTTCAATCCTCCCCTGCGTATTTCCCCTTCATCTTTTGTCCTTTCCTCAATCCTCCCTATTCTCAGTCTTCTCTTTCACTTTCCTCCCTGTAACCCCCTGCGTACTAGTGGCATTCCCCTTCATCTTTTGTCCTTTCCTCAATCCTCCCTATTCTCAGTCTTCTTCACTTTCCTCCCTGTAACCCCCTGCGTACTAGTGGCATTTCCCTTCATCTTTTGTCCTTTCCTCAATCCTCCCTATTCTCAGTCTTCTCTTTCACTTTCATTCCCTGTAACCCCCTACGTACTTGTGGCATTCCCCTTCATCTTTTGTCCTTTCCTCAATCCTCCTTATTCTCAGTATTCTCTTTCACTTTCACTCCCTGTATCCCCCTGCGTGCTATTGTCATTCCCCTTCATCTTTTGTCCTTTCCTCAGTCCTCCCTATTCTCAATCTTCTCTTTCTCTTTCATTCTCTGTAACCCCCTGCTTACTAGTGGCATTCCCCTTCATCTTTTGTCCTTTCCTCACTCCTCCCTATTCTCAGTCTTCTCTTTCTCTTTCATTCTCTGTAACCCCCTGCGTGCTAATGTCATTCCCCTTCATCTTTTGTCCTTTCCTCAATCCTCCCTTTTTCTCAAACTTCTCATTCATTTTCACTCCCTGTAAGCCCCTGTGTACTAGTGGCATTCCCCTTTATCTTTTGTCCTTTCCTCAATGCTCCTTATTCTCAGTTTTCTCTTTTACTTTCACTCCCTGTAATCCTCTGCGTATTACTGGCATTCCATCTTTGCATTGGCGAAATGATTAAAGAAAAAGAGATACGCAGATTTTATTCAGCGTAATACATCTGGTCCCAATTTCCTTTTAAAAATGCCAGTCGAATTAAAAGCAGAAATATTTTACTAAAAATAAACTGCATCGAAAGTGTACTGATCACACAATTCTCTAAGTATACTGTGTGCAGTAAGCTTAGATGTACTGGTGGGTTAATAGATAACGTCTTGAAATTGTTAATTATATTGACTTACTCTCAAATACCATTGGGAAATATCTGAATCCACCTATTTTTCCCTAAGATATGTATTAATTAGTAAAACTTGTATCACTAAACCAGTATTATGACCTCTCCTGCTATCCTACAATAGACAGATCAAGCCAAAAATGGAGTACTGTTGTCATATTTGGGTGCGATCTGCCCAGACCCCACACGCCTACCTTGATAGAGTGAGTAAACGTCCTCGAGCCCTTGCGGGTGACAAACTATTCAACAACTCTCCTACAGGCGTGATGTGACAAGCCTCCCGCTGATCAACCACTATTTCCACGGACAGTACTGCGAGGAACCACATTTCCTACTCCCGCCTAGGCAAAACCTTCACAGCAAGAACAAGCCATGCCATTTACATAGTGGCAAAACACCCATATTTCCTATGTGAGAAATAAGTTCCAATCGAACAGTTTCTTCCATCTGGTTGGGAGTCGGTTCCCTGTGGAAGTGACTCCCAAGAACAAGTTTTCCCGATCACTGCAATCTTAGCTTGTTCAACGGTGGGTTAAACTGTTTTCTTCCGCTCTTATACACATAAATGGCCTCTAAACGTAACCTTCTACCTGAAGTGGCTCGGCTGAGCGTATCTTTACTCTATTGACCGAAGATAAAACATCGTGTAAGGGTGACAGAATTGATTTCAACTTCACCCACCGCGACGCGAATGAGTCCGAAGTTTTATTGTTGATAATTTAAAAACGGTATATTTTATCGAAATTTCGATTTTAAAATGTATATTTACACCTAAATAGAACTCTTTGGGAATTTTTTTTATTAGACACTCAGTGCAGGGATTGAAATGGAAATTACCTTTTTGAGGTATCGAGATAAAATTAGTTCTGTTACCTAGCAGTGGGGTTAGAAATAATCTATCACCCACAACAGCCGCGTAAATGTTTGTAATCACTGTCAAAGGTGGAGATTAAGCATTGAGCAGTTCGTCTCCAGCTATGGTAGTCATTCATTTTTTTTTTTTTTAGTTTTCCTTTGATCTGGCCTTTTTCAGATTAGAGCTGGACAGAAGGCGCCAGTTACTTTCTGGAGGTGTGCAATAAACCGATTATTATTTTAGCATCTTTAACGATGGATAATATATATGAATCCCTGTTGATGTCTGGGCTCAACCTGTGTACCAGCAGATTTTCAAGGTAAGTTTTGATTCGAAAAATAAAACAAAGATTCACTAAATACTATCGTGTAGCCAAGTTTAACTAGCAATAGCCCCTGTAACGAACCGATAGAAATTGATCCCACTGGGAATAAGTGTCTTTTTTAAGCTCCTCGTATATCTTTAGTAAGTACGTCCGTTCGCTATGCCCAGTAGCGACACGATGTGTAAGGGACAGTAGGGGATGCAGAGTTAATTTCAACTTCACACACCGCGACGCGAATGAGTCCGAACTTTTATTGTCGATAATTCCAAAACGGTAGATTTTCTCAAAATTTCGTTGTTATTTTTTAATTAAGCATCTAAATTTACACCTAAATGGAACTATTCCGGACTTTTTTTATTTGACACTGGGCGCTGGACTTGAACTGCAAATTAATCTTTTGAAGTTCAGAGTTGAAATTAGTTCTCTCACGTTCGTGTAAACTTTTATCTATATATATATCTTTCTGATTGATTAGAGCTTGTAAGGACACATCACTCTGAAACACCGGTTTCCGTATTGTCACCGACGTTAAGCAGCGTCGAACAGGGTTAGTACGTAGATGGGTGACTCCTTGCGAATATCAGGTGCTGTAAGCTTGGATGTGTGTGTAGTGTAATGGATAATAGCTCGGGTTTGTTAATCGAAGAGCTGCGTTCCATATCCCGTTGGGTTTGTTATATTCACTTACAAGTAAATGCACTTAAGAAAGGTATGGATCCACCCTTTCTTTCCCCAGCTATTGGTTAATTAGAAAGACATGTAATACTAAACCATTATTTTCTAAAAAAAATATCACAATATAAATTTTTTTTTTTTTAAATAACCTGTAAACAGTTGATATGTCGTAGAAAACGAACCGTTCAATCAATCAGTTGCACGTCGGGAAACTTCATCAGTATCGCCCTCGACAGAAACTATCACCTGTATGTGTAGACGATATATCTCAATAAAAACAAGCGTCCAATTCAAAAATACGCTCTTAAATAGGCGCTGAGTGTGTGTGTGTGGGGGGGGGTCGTAAGTGATGTAATTTGACTTGGTTCATAAGGGAGATCCGGGTCTTTCAACATTATACCAAGTAGACCCAATCAGGGGAGACCAATCTCTGATCCCCCCCTCTCAATCAAACACTAACAGCTAATCCGGCCTTTTAATGAATTAGACGAAGAAAGACCACGCTTTCCGTACACTCGATTTGATGTTTGTAACAACTAACCCCCTGCGCGAACTATCTTTTAAATAGTCCACGGTAGGGACTGGCTTCTTTTCTTCTCTTTTTTTTTTTTTTTTTCGACGGATAGCAGTTTCAATGGATAACCGAGGAGGTGATCAAACGTTCCTAAATTTAACCCTTTTTCACAAATATGGTATAATGTCTTACTTTAAATATTTGTCCATATATTAACAATAGTGGATGCGACAAATTCGATTTTAAGACCAACGGCTACCGACTACCATTTTCCTCACTATTCTTGCTCGATACTAAGCCTTTCGGCTGCTCGACTATACGAAACTGCCAAAATGCGCCACCTTCTTGGCCATTTTGTTTCGCATTCAATTATCCGCGGATCCTTTGTCTCTTTTCCCGAACCCACACATCGAACCGGGCCTGATCCTGGACATAATCGTTTCCTGTCGGGAACACGTGACCTTTAGCTAATTAACGTCTATTTCCGATCAGTCAGACGTCAGACCAGATTTGGTGATCAAAAAAGACAAGAATGAGAAAAGAGAAAGAGACGGTGGCCAGGCTATTATCAGCTGTCCGCGACGCCTCAGTCTAGATTCGAATGAGCTCACGACCCATTTTCTGACCACTCATCTCCGCTCCCGACTCACAGAGAAACGCGAAAGAGTACTTGTCTGAACTTACATCATATAACCAGTTCAATAGCTTCGTCTCTGCCTCTCTCTCTCGTTCGCTCTCTCTCGCTCTCTCTCTCTCTCTCGCTCTCTCTCTCTTTCGCTCTCTCTCGCTCTCTCTCTCGCTCTCTTTCTCTCTCTCTTTCGCGCTCTCTCTCTTTCGCTCTCTCTCTTTCGCTCTCTCTCTTGCTCTCTCTCTTTCGCCATCTTTCGCTCTCTCTCTCTTTCGCTCTCTCTCTTTCGCTCTCTTTTTCGCTCTCTCTCTCTCTCTTTCACTCTCTTTCTCTTTCGCTCTCTCTCTCTCTCTTTCTCTTTCTCTTTCTCTCTCTCTTTCGCTCTTTCACTCTCTTTCGCTCTCTCTTTCTCTTTCGCTTTCTCTCTCTTTCGCTCTCTCCCTCGCTCTCTTTCTTTCGCTCTCTCTCGCTCTCTCTCGCTCTCTCTCGCTCGCTTTCTCTCTCTCTCTCTCTCTCTCTCTCTCGCTCTCTCTCTCTCTCTTTCGCTCTCTCTCTCTCGCTCTCTCTCTCTCTCTCTCTCTCTCTATTCATTTGTCTGCCCGTTTTTAAGATCTGTTCTTTCTGTCTGACATGTTTTTCTCTAGTCCGCCAAACTTATAAAAATGGTATTAACTAAGCTGAAAATGTGTAGCCTCCGGCAAGTTGCCCGATTGCCGGCAATAGGAATTGCCTATATTTATTTCACGGTCATATGTTTTCTTGGTTGAAATGAACAAAAGGGTAGGGACTCTGGCTGATTTAATAAAAATGTTTGTTGTTTGAATTGTTCATTTGACAATGAGTTTGCTCCAAACGCCCAAACATATACAGAACGGCTTACGGGTATTTTTTAGCGTGTTCCGAAAATAATTGCGTTTTACTAGGAATACAATAAAAGAGAAATGTAAATTGAATTTATTATATTTACACTCTTTCCATTCGGATCATTGTCCTCATATTTGTTGTGCTTATTACGACGTTTCGGCCTTTGTTTTCTCCGGTCTTCATCAGGTGTATATTGAATGTAAATTGAGTAAATAATAATAAATATCGACTGCAGTTTCAGTGACGACAGCAAAACTGAAGGGCAAGATTTAAAGAAACCTGTTGTTTTTTTTTCCGCGAAGAATTGAAAGACTGCTTGTAACTTCCTTGTTTCTGAAATTATTTATTTCATCCATAGAAATAAAAATATGCAGATGCTATTCCTTGTGAGAATGGAATCTATAAGAAAAAATCCTTATCCTAAAGATCTTTTGTCCTTGGGCCTGTTTTGCGTGATTTTCACAAGCATCGTCATACTGTAGAATTAGTCGTTTGTTTGCCAAAGCAGAACAATTTCAATATAAGGTCTCTGCTACTCTATCAAGTTGCTGGCAATAAACATTTTCGGATATGGTCCTTCTATTGTCCAAAAACTCGTAATGTACGACACCTTTCCTATTCTACAGGACACGAAGCAAGGAATCTTGTGGATCGAATTGGTGATTCTGGTTTGTCATTTTTGGGAGAACCACTGCGTCTTTTGTTTTATGTTGACAGACAAAGTGTGACACCGAAATGCGAAAGCGCATTAGGATAGCGAAAAATGCCTTCCAAAAACTAAGCAAAATATTAAGAAATATGAAAATTTTAGTCGAAACAAAGAAAAGAGTTCTGAACACTTGCGTAATGTCCGTAATCATATGTGACAGTGAATGCTGGTCAATCTCCTCACAGATGAAGAAGAGACTTGGGGCAATAGAAATGCGCTTCTACAGAAGGATGCTGAGAATATCATAGACCTAACATGTGAGCAATGATGAAGTGTGACACCGAAATACGAAAAATGCCTTCCACATGCAAAGAAAAATATTAAGAAAGATGAAAATTTCAGTCGAAACAAAGAAAAGAGTGCTGAACAGTTGTGTAATGTCCGTAATCATATTTGACAATGAATCTGGCCAATCTCCTCAGAGATGAAGCATAGACTTGAAGTAAAAAAGAAATGTGTTTTTGCAGAATACAATAGACTTAACATGTGCGCAATCCTTAAGTTTTAGAGAAAATGGAAGCAAAAAGAACACTTTTATTTAACATCATGAAGAGACAGTTGAGATTTCTAAGGGACAGTATTAAGAATGAGGCTTTTTCGACAGGACATACTGAAGACCAGGGGGGGGCACAGGAAAGCAATGCATAATCTCCCTAACGCGCTTGTATAGATGGACACCAAAGCAGAGTAGAGATCAAATGATAAATTCACTATAGTCTTAACCTTTACAAGTCTCGTGTCAACCCTTATCTATCGTAGGTATGCTCATAAAACACGCTGCTTATTTTCTGCATTTACGTCTGTATAAAAACGTTTTTTTTTTCAGTAATTCCCTAATGTAAATGGATCTACCTTTTACTAAGTAAACAATAGTATACAAATACTATTTTAGCAAGAATTCCCAATTGAACTTTGAAATGTTGCAAGAATTCCAAAATAATATTTAAAAGTTTAACTGGGAATTCTTGCAAAGAAATTGCTTGGTTGATGAACCAATAAAATAATTTCGAACGCAGTTTTGTAACATTCAATTTTGTTTCTATCTTGGTTCATTAACTCGAAACTCATAGCGGTGAAATACGTAATTACATTCTGAACACTAATCAAAACTAATTCTAGACGAAGTTTCCTAACATTCAGCCTTGGTTACACCTTATTTGTTTGACTCGTAAGTCATAGCGGTTAAATACGTAATTACATTCTGAACACTCTAATCAAAACTAATTCTAGACGAAGTTTCTTACCATTCATCGTTTGTTCATAAACACGTAATTCATAGCGATGAAATAATTACTTTCCAGACAGTCTAACAGAAGATATGATAAATTAATTCTACACACAGTTTCCTAGCATACAACCATGGTTAGTTGATTTATAATTCATAATTAGCAAATACGTAACTACTTTTAGAACATACTACTGCTTTTGATTGAGTTTTTTCGACAGAATATAAAACATGGAGCAAAATATCTTGGACTTTCACTGTAGAGCAGAAAGTCAATCTATACTTAAGCATTTTCATGGACAATGCTATAATCAATTCGACAACGGAAGTTCAACGAGATCTCACATTTAGCAATAGCTAACAAGGAATCCTTACGCATACATTCTTTTAATTCTTATCACGCCTCGATGGTTTTCGAGCACATAGATTGGAAAACCTCTTGAGCGACGATCCACTGCTGACGTCCTAAATACCATTACTTACAATGAGGCTTTTAATGACAAATACATCGAGGGCCATAGAATTAGATATTCCGCATCCATTTGGCAATGTTTGCTGTTCATGCTCTCCAGGTATGAAGTCACTGAAGGTTCTTCTCAGTAATAAAGTCCTTCCTAACGGGTACGTTCCCTGTAGGTAGTTGTTAACGGCCAGTCCTCGGGAGCCCTGGAGGTCAGCACTGGTGTCCTCTAGGGGTCACTTCTCGGACCAACCCTCTTTTTGCTTTAAATAAATGATCTACGAATATACTCAGGTCATTTGTGAATATCTATGCCGATAATAGAAGGATATGTTCAGCGGTGCTGGTATCGGGTATTGCTACTGAAACCACCTCTTGAAGCAGGTACTACCACGGGCAACTTTTCCCCGGAACCGGACACCACTCAATTTTTTTTTTTTTTTTTGAAGTTACGCTCTATCCGTAGACCAAAATCAACTGAGTATCGCTCTGACTGAAGACAAAATCACAATTGAGAGAAAAATATATTTCTTCCGCCCGAAGACAGATATTACACTATAATCTCAACTCAAGTGCCAGGAAGTGAAGGGAAGTGTAACGAGTAACCCTGGGTCTTTAGTCAATAAATGCCGAATGCATATATAAAAAAAAAAACAGCTCATATTACCATTGATACTGACTAACCAGACACTTTAGAATATTTACTTTAGCGTAGCAACCAGCGAGGAGCGAACGCAAGATAACTGATCTTAAAAGAAATAGCTAACAACTGTCCGATGTCGGGCAACCAAATTCCAAGTTAGCTACACTAGGGATCAATATATGTAATCATTTGAAAAATAATTTTTAAATAAACTTGCGTGATTTTTTTTTAAAATCATTTCACCCAATGAAAGGCAATCAAGCCACTAAGACGCAAGGAATTACTGAGTGTGGGAGAGAAAAAAAAACACCATTAATGTGAGAGACCATTAAAATAACAGGAATTAATAATATAAATAATAACGATTGAAATTGCATTTAAATTTGTGAAAACCAATATTGACTGGGAAGAAGGAATCCGGAAGACGGTACCACAGGTGGGAGGTGGGATAGAAGAAACTTTTATCAAAGAACTTAATTACATCTAGTCATTTCTACTGTAAAATAATGGAACATTGCCACCAGTGTTGTACTACGCTTAAATTCATAAAGTCTAAGTATCATAGAGGAAAGTAATATTTATTTTGTTTTAATACAAAAATGTGGCACAAGGCCAAAAGGGGGACAAGGGAAGGCAAGTTTTTAGTCTGTCTTATCTTAAACTTACCTAGCTGCGATTACGGACCCAAACATACTACAGGATTCCTTACACCAAAACTAAACATTCTTACTTACCATTCTTGCAACAGCCACCATAATTCCTCAAGTATCTAAGTAGTCGTAATTATTTCCCATATTAATAGTTTGTCCGTGGGAAGGGGAATATCTTAGAGAAAAGTAATATTTATTCTGTTATATACAGAAATGTGACACATGGACGAAGTGGGTAATGGGGAAAGGACGGTCTTCTTCTGTCTTAACTATAACTTAGCTAGCCACAAACACTGACCCAATCGTACAAACAATATTCTTTACACCAAAACATCGCATTCTTACGTAACTTTCTTACTACATTCGCCATAATACTCCATTGTCTCTATGAAAGTCCTTACTAATCCCCATATTTACAATTCAATGTCTGTGGGGGGAGGGGAATAAAACAAAAATTCTAAGAACTAGACCCAATGAGTATTTACAATATGAATACAAAACTATTTCCAAGAAACTAAAGAAAATAATATTAGTAATAAAACCCCCCACAATTACTATATCTTAGAGAAAAGTGATATTTATTCTGTATAATACAGAAATGTAGCACAAGGCCGAAAGGGGGAATGGGGAAAGGACGGTCTTCTTCTGTCTTAACTATAACTTAGCTAGCCACAAACACTGACCCAATCGTACAAACAATATTCCTTACACCAAAACAACACATTCATACGTACATTTCTTACTATATTCACCATAATACCCCATTGTCTCTATGAAAGTCCTTACTAATCCCCATATTTACAATTCAATGTCTGTGGGGGGGGGGAATAAAACAACAATTCTAAAAACCAGCCACAATGAGTATTTACAATATGAATACAAAACAATTTACAAGAAAACTAAAGAAAATAATTTTAGTAATAATCCCCCCCCAACAATCACTATATCTTAGAGAAAAAGTTCATAGAGAACGATTATTGTGAATATATTTATAGAAAAGGTACATAGAAGCTAGGTTAAGGCGGTGGGAAGTAGTTATCTCCCCAGAGGCAAATCTTTGGTAACTGAGCAACGTAGTGAAACCAATCGTTTCCAAGTTACGCAAATATCAGTT